GCAGCCGTCTTGTTTGTCCCTCCCCGATCGGGAGGGCATGATGGACATGGCACTTCGGTGGAGGAGATCTGCAGAGCGGCGTCTTGGTCCTCCTCCTCGACTTTTGTGCAGTTTTACCTACTGGAGGTGGCCTCTGACTCTGTGGCTCATTCGGTTTTGAGTGCAGGGCGGCCCTAGTTCCTCCTTCGATAGACCTCGGTGAGAACTGGTCTGCCGGGGGGGGGGTTGTGTGGAGAGGTGTTGGCGCTCTTGGGAGAGGCGGCCAAGACACCTCTGCAGTAAGGATAGGCGCTCTTGGCCTAGGCCCTTCTGCAGTCTGCTTTACACTCCTGGGGATCAGGCGCTCTCGGGAGAGGCTGCCTGCCCAGGTTTGTTCTGATTTCTTTCCTGCTTTGCAGGTTGGAGAATGCGTGGGCATTCTTGGGAGAGGTGGCCCAGCATCCCTTTCTCTATGGCTTGTAGGACCTCCGTCTCTACCGCTTGGTTGCGGTATGAGCACGTGGGTCACGAGTTTGCTCCAATCACCGGAGTTCATGCCTGCTGGGAGTACATCGGTCTGGGCTTCGCTATGTTATGCATTAGCGAAGCCTAAAGGGCGAAGCAACATATGAAATAGAAACCCCAGTTACTTAATGTAACTAAGGTTCTATGAATATGTTGCGAAGCCCTTTAGCTTCGAGCCCAGCAGGCCTGCCCTCTCATATTCGGCTGAGTTCGAAAGGAGAAGAGCTGTGGTGCATGGCCCTATTTATAGGGGACTGGCCTACGCCAGGACGTGAAGGTGATTGGACGGTGGATCGTTTGATCTTCTCAGGGTGGGAAGCGATGCTTCCGAGAGATATGCATTAGCGAAGCCTAAAGGGCTTCGCAACATATTCATAGAACCTTAGTTACATTAAGTAACTGGGGTTTATGCCAGATCCATAATTGTCCGATTCAGAAGCTATGTTGAGAAGCAAAGAGTACTTCACGCAGCGTGGGGTCAAAGAGAAGTTTGCATTAAAGACCGAAGAATCTATTTCGATGAAGACTTTGCAGCCGGAGTGTTTAAGGAGCGCGCACTGTATAGAAGTGCAAGAAAACAACTCCAAGAGCGCCGCATCAAGTCCCGCATTTTGTTCCCTGCAAAACTAAAGTTGTTTCTGTAAGAAGGGAAAACAAAAACATTTGAGTCTCCTCGGGAAGCTGCTGAAGGATTACGTGAGTTTGGCGTCACCATGGAATTACCAAAGAAAGAGCTGGATTGGGAGAAGGCCCTGTGCGCCGTGGGCTGGGAATCTCAACGCAGCAGGGGCAAACACGCTCCCGCAGGTGAAATAACGACCAGCGTTGAAATGCTTCGCCGTTCTTTGGATGTGCACGAAGAGATCAAAATGAACGACGAATAAGGTACGTGATCCGTTTCCGCGAGGGAACGAGAGGTGCACTGATCAACAATAATGACTGCAATGAATGATCAACTCACACATGTTGAAAGTACTGAATGCTCACATAGTTTTGAGGATGATTTGGACATAGAGAAGAATTTCCACCAGCAACCAAACTATGCGTGTAAATATTACACTGATGCTGAATTCAACGACGAAGTTAAAGCGGAAAAAACAATTACGTTCATTCATTTTAACTCCCGGAGCATGTATTCAAATTTTGTTGAAATTCAGGAGTATTTAAGCACATTAAATAATACATTTACGGTGGTTGCCTTAACTGAGACGTGGTTAACAGAGGATAAAGGTGTGGAATTTAATTATGAAGGTTATGAGTTCTTTTATGTAAATAGAACATGCCGGAAAGGAGGTGGAGTTGCTTTATTTGTCCGTAGTGATTTGAAATGCAAACGTGTTGAACGCATGACAACAGCAATAAATGATTTAATGGAATGTTTAACCGTTGAAATTGAAAGTGAGAACGAAAAAAATATTGTAGTTTCATGTATCTACAGAACTCCAGGCTCCAGTATAACTACATTTATTGAAAAACTGGAAGAAATATTTTTTGTTTTGAATGAAAATAAAAATATCTTTATTTGTGGAGACTTTAACATTAATTTGCTCAATTTGTCTACTGATGCCAATAGTTCCAATTTCCTGGATGTCATGTACAGTAAAGGCCTGTATCCAGCCATCACAAAGCCCACTCGAGTCACTCCTAGTTGTACTACTTTGATTGATAATGTTTTCTTAAATGTGGGCTTGCTAGAAAATTCAGTTAAGAGTGGTATTCTGGTAAATGACACAACTGATCATCTTCCTGTATTTGTAATTTACTCATGTGAAATGAAAAAGAATGAGAAAAAAAAGCCCATAGTTCTTAGAATAAGAAATGAGGAAACATTAAGGACATTTCATGATGATCTCTTAAAGGAACAATGGGAAAGTGTTTATAAAGCTAACGAGGCAAATGAGGCATACAACAAATTCCTTGAAAGATACATGCTGTTGTACGATAAGAACTGCACCAAAAAAAATATTTGAAGATAAACCAAAAAATTATGAGAAGCCCTGGTTAACAAGGGGGATATTAAGAGCATGCAAAAAGAAAAACAAACTCTACAGATTCCTTAAAATTGAGAACACCAAATGCTTATAAAAGATACAAAGAGTATAAAAACAAATTGACCAGTATCAAGCGTAATGCAAGAAAAGATTATTATTCAAACATATTATCAGACAATAAAAGTAATGTCAAAGAAATGTGGAAAGTTCTACACCAAGTTATAGGCAATAAAGACTGTGAATAAATAAATTATTCACAGTCACCCATCCTTCTTGGTTAATGAACAGGGCAGACAGATGGATCCCGCAGAAATGGCAGATGCACTGAATTCTTTCTTTGTTAATGTTGGCCCTAACCTTGCCAGATCAATTCAAATGACAAATCACAATGAAGATAATTGGAACCATGAAAATAAAGTTATGCAATCCTTATATCTGGATGAAGTCAGTGAAACTGAAATTATTGCCTGCATCTCTAAAATGAAAAATAAAAAATCATGTGATAGTGATGGTTTAGATATGTTCATTGTGAAAAGATCTATTGATTGCATCTGCAAACCATTGAAACATTTTATTAATCTTTCTTTTAACACTGGCGTTTTTCCAGACAAAATGAAGATAGCGAAGATAATCCCCATATTCAAATCGGGTGATAAGCACAGTCTGACAAACTATCGACCTATATCGTTGCTCTCAAAATTTTCCAAGATACTAGAGAAGCTTTTTATCGATAGGTTTGACAAGTTCATTGAAAGATTTTTTCTGTTAAATGACAGTCAATATGGCTTTAGGAGTAATAGGTCAACAGCCCTTGCACTCATGAAAATAACAGAGGACATTACAACTGAATTAGATAAAAAAAAATTACACAATCGGAGTCTTTATTGATCTGAAAAAGGCTTTTGATACTGTTGACCATCACATTCTTCTCAATAAATTACAGTCTTATGGAATTAGAGGTGTCACTGCATGAAAAGTTAGATTTTCGTCACCCTAAACTGCAGGAAATCACGCTCTTTTTCGGGTATCTCAGGCAGTTTTCAGAAGGCGCAGTTAGGGTGCCCTGTCCTCCAAACTGCCGTATCCGTACCATGCTAATGTCCCTACTTTGCATATGAATGCAGCGAAACACTGCGGCCGCCGAGCGCTAATGGCCCTAATTAGCATATGAATGCAGCGGCTGGCCAGGCTGCTATTCAGCATTGGTGAATACCACTACTTTCAAACTCGTGATTGGCTGAAAAATCACACGTGGCCAGCCCACGTGGGATTACTCCCCATTGGTAGCTTCTCCCCATTGGATGAAATCACTACTTTCAAATAAGTATAATCTCTCGTGATTGGCTAGCAGATCTGTCACTATTGGTCACCCTGCCTCATAATTAATGTAATAATATTTATATAAATATTCGTATTATTTATAGAAGAAATGAAAATTTTCCAGGAATATGTTCATACAAAGAAAGCTTTATTAAAACACACACACACACAGCTTTATGCTCACACATAGGTAATTAAAAAATTACAACTCTGAACTGTCCAATAGCCTCCTCGGGGTTGTAATTTGGCAGGGTTCTAGATAGACGCTTAATGTGCGTGGCTCTGTACTTCCGCGCCGCCTCTAACCGGGACTGCAGCTTGACAGAGTTCAGAAAACTCCGGCTTTCGAAAAGACTGCGACCGCACAATCCATCCAGAGACACCGTCCACAACGCCTTCTTCTTCATTGGACATTAGGTCTACCGTGGCGGACTTCCAGAGTTCCACTTTGTCACTTTCTAGCACACTCAGTCTCGATTCCAGCGGCTGAAAGAATCAGTAAATATTATTAGCCAAATCAAATCCTTTTTCCCCATCTAAACATAGTGTCTAAAGCAGACCTGGAGATTCTTATCCATGCATTTGTCTCCAGTAGGTTAGACTACTGCAATGGCCTGCTCACAGGTCTGTCCAAACAGGCTGTAAAACAGCTGCAGTACATTCAAAATGCAGCAGCTCAAGTCCTGACCAGAACCAGGAAGTACGATGGTAAGGCAAGTTTATTTGTCTAGCACAATTCATACACAATGCAACTCGAAGTGCTGAGCAAAATAAGAAAGCATTAAAATAAATAATCCCAGTACATTAACAAAGATAAATATAAAATACCTCAGTTGTAGCACAGCTAAAGTGACAGCTCCTCTCTGACAATGTTTAAAACCAGGTTAAAGGGAGAAACAGTAAAACACTTACACACAATGTCGTCTTTATCAACATGGTGGAAATGTGGACTTATTGTTCACATTGTATTGCAGATATTGTGTTAAGCAAATAGGAGGTCACCGTCTCATTACGAGGCGAGATTAGTCTGAAAACAAAGTGTACAGTTATGATTGGTATCTATACATATCCATTACCGACACAAAACGTGTAGGTAAACCAAATTCAATTTCCATGGATACATGAACAATACTTACATAACCTTTTTGAGAAAATGGATCCTTCAATGAAAAAAGTGTGATAATTCTAAGAGCATAGCTTTTTTTGTTTTCGGGAAGGCATTTGTCTAAGGAGAAAAAAACAGTCATGGTCAAAGGACTTCATGGTTACATAAAAAGGCTAAATTAATAGTATCTACAAGTACATATTTTCACAGGGACCTAACCAAGAGATAATCTACAGGAGAACATCTACCTAGGTCATTTATAAAAGAGATCAGTACTATTTATCTTACAATGGGGAATCAATAACAGTGCTGAGAGAAACTGAATTGTTACGTGATTATTGTGAAAGGTCTTTCAAGTGATTTTCATTTTATTTTGAGTAAATATCCTTCCACTTGTAAGAAGGAACTTTTGAGTATTAACTGAGGGATACAACATACCCATGTGTTTCACTCATGTCACTGACGAGAAGGTCGACAAGTTGTCTTCGAGAGCGGAGATCTCACAGTGATCTCACAGAATTATAATCTTTAAGGATCTCTCGGTCACCAGGGTTTTCCTGCAGTTCCACCATCTACAAACACGTGGAAAATGTAAAATGACAATCTACAATTGTACCAAAAATCTTAGGATACAAAATGCAGCAGTACCTCTTTTGATGTGTACCTTTCTCCTTTCTCCATCTCCTCTGCTGTACATATGTGCATTTCAACACCAAACACAATCATATGTCATTTCTTTTTGTTATTGCTTTATGAACTTACACAGGAATCGAGGTGCCGGACAATCTTGGAAAGCTTAGCGCCAGCAGACCCCCTTTTGGCCTTAAAGAGCTTGATGAACTGTGTCGTTAGGCAATCCAATGCTTCAACGAAATCATTGCCCAGTTTGGAGCTGGTGATCTGGTTAAATTCTGCCAGGACCTGCAAAAAAAACAACATAAAACACTTCAAGTTAAATGCATAGATGTAAAAAATGTGTACACACCTGTCTCTCTGTATGAAGTGCTGGCCAGCGCGCTTTGACATTTTCCACAGGTGGGGCAGAATTGACTATTTCTTGTTGTCGGACTGCAACACGCTGTAAGCAAAAAAAGAATAATCAATATATATAAAACAATATCACATGATTTTTGCTCAAATGTGTTTAAAGGAGGTCTAGATTCACTCAATAACATTATTAAGCAATGGACTTAATAAAAAAAAACAAAAAAAAATGAACAGAAAGACAACAGTGACAAATGAGATGAAAAAGTACAGTAATAAAAGTGAAAGTCTTAGCGCTCAAACAAAGACAGGAACAGTGCAAAACAAATGATATATGTTAGATATTCCACAGAACTTAGTCCACAGCTCTCCGTATATCAGGCTCTGCCATGAGCCCAAACTGCTTTTCCTTCGGTTCTTTCGAAGCAGTCTGCTCTGTGCGCCTCGTCCCTGCTCCTGCAGCAGTTCCATGCTTTACAGAAAGTTATCACACACGGAGCAATCACATATATATGTGATATATATATCACATATATATGTGATTCCTAGCTTCCTAGCGGCGGCGGCCCGCGTAGTTAGGGCCGGGAATATGGCTCTGAACATGGCTACAGTTAGCTACTAACAGCTCCATTCACCGCTGTCCTCAGTAAACTCCCGGAGGCCGGACAGAGCTCTCTCAGGCCTCCGGGAGAGCGGCTCTGAACACGGCCACAGTCACTGCATTCACCGCTGAGCTGGTCGAACACACGAGTTTTATAAGATAATATAGTCGAATGTATACTCGTTCTTAACACACTTCTTTAGCTTTATACCTTTATAACAATGAACAACGTGTCTTAACACTTACCGTACATTCAAAAGAGTCCTCTCTTCACGTTCCAGACCGCACCGTCGACTTGAGGCAAAGTATTTCGTTGCGTTTTGCGCATGCGCGAAATGCGCATTCAGTTTGTGAAGTCCCCATGTTTTGGTTGTGTAAAGAGAGTGATGATAACACCAACAACCGTTTGTGTATATACTGGTCAAAGTGCTCGTGGGTCCTCCGGTATGATACTCCGTCTGGTTGGGAGGCCACCAGCAGACTGAAGTCGTCTGCCAATGATTTGTGTCTGAAGGTCAGGAATGTAGTTGTAATCCTTTGCTTCTTTGACAGTGTGTACCCGATACCGTTTCGATTTTTTGCTGTACAGTCTCTTTAGGCTACAAGATAAGTAATTTCACGTTAGAAGACAACTATATTTATGACTTGTCAATAGGAAGTAGTGAATGATACTTACGACACTTGGCCTTTGCTGTTCACATGTGCCGGACGGCTGTTGTGGTGATTGTAGTCCAAAGCTGCGAGAAGTGTTCTTGCTTCATAAACAAAAAATGAAAAAGCAAACCGCTTTCCGGCATACATCAGAATATGGTTTTGGAATGATTCCAGCTGTGAGGTGGTCCTGCAGGGAAAGTAAGTAGGAAATAGAAGAAACACAAATCATTCAAAAAAACAAAAACTGATCTCTTACCGAAATGTGAGGAACTTCTCCACATCCTTCAGCCATCTGCGGTTCAGCACGATCTGTGACAGTGCCACATGTGCTTTAGAGCCAGTTGGTACAGGCTCTTTAGTGCCATCATCCCCCAAAGGACCATGAAGGCATCTACCCAGGTCCCACTCATGCACGCCACTAACATGGTGCAGTACACCTCGCCAAATGTCCTAATAAGCAAACATAAGAAACTGAAAAGGTATAGTGAAAATGAGAAGATAAATTCTAGTTCTACTTTACTTACCATGAACTCTTCTCGGCTGCTTGCATGCTGACAGGCATACCAAAAATGGTTAACAATGTCCTTGATCCACCCAAGGATTTGTTTTTGACCTGCTAGGACACCCGCATATCAAAGTTATTAGTTTTGGTTATGTCTATAAAAAATAATTGAATGAGAAACGATATGAACTATCACTTACAGCATGAAGCCTCTTAGTTAGATTTTTTTCAGCATGCCAGACATCCAGGGAATGGGTAACTCCATGATCCATATATCTTCCCCGTTCTGGATCTATTATAAAGCTCAAAAATGCAGTAAGCACAAAATATAGCACATCAAATAATACAGACAAAAATACTTACGCATGAGGGCTGCAATTTGCACATGGGCGTCAGTCACAATCTCTTTGACTTTTAATTCTTTCGTGAGATCATCAAATGTTTTGATGAACGCTGCCTTCTCCATAGAGACACTTTTTCCACCAACTTGCCTTTTATCAACATTGACAACACTGATAATGTCCATTGTGTCAAGTTCCATCGTTGTGTATGTGCAAAACGTTGCAGAATGACCTTGTTGAATCAAATATGGTGAAACACAAAGTAATACACAATAACTATGTTGTGAAGTGAAAGGCTTCAGACTTACCTGGTGAGTCCATTCTCCCGTCAGCTGTAACAGATATAGTACTTATAGTGACTGCAAATACGACAAAGATTGTCCTTTAACACATTACTTACCAAGGGCCACAATGCCATCTTTTGACTTTAATCGAGTTACAATAGACAACCTCTTCTGCTCCCAAAATGCCTTTATTTCAGGTACGCAGTAGGAGTGTTGAATTTTGTAATAAGTTGTCGTTGAAACCATCTTCATATTCATAAATTTGAAGAGGAGGGCAATCTTAGCAAAATTATTACCACTCAGTAATAAGTTGGCAGATAACATAAAATCGCCTCCTTGCATCCCATGTCGAAGTACAGGTTGACTGTTCCACATCCATAACTTGTGTCCATAAGAGCAGAACTATGGAGAAAGAAACAAATAACTTTTACTAAATGTATAACTACACATTTTGCCTACCCTAAATACCAATCTCTAATTTCAGCATTCACTCACCCATTCCAATATGATTGATGTGCCCCTAGAACGTGATTGAACCGAAAATGGAGGCCGACCGTCACACTCAATACCAGAAACCGGATCGCTGTAATGGCATTTGTTGATGGGCAGTTGCAGAAAATTAGCCATTTGCAGCAAGCTAATAGTATACGCTATGCATGCTTGTTGGTGCACTAGGTCAGTTTCAGCAACCACACGAATTGGCTTTGGGAATGTTGATATGTCCTGCTCAGACTGATCCTCAAAGTCCTCTGGTTCTCCGGGATTTTCTGGGTCACAGATGTCCAACACAGCTTCTTCTATGCCGAGGATGGGAAGATTGTCAACTTCTCTTTGAATTGCAACACCAGCACTGAAAAAAAGAACAATTTGATGCTTTTTCAAAAAACAATTAGGGAAGGACTTCCATTATTTTCAGGACAGAACATTTAATAAAAAAAAACCTCAAAGATATAGGTGGGACATATTCCGAATCTAATGGATCTGAGGCCAAATCTTCATCAAACTCAATCCTGTGAAAGTAAACAGGTCATATTTTAAAACAACAACAAAATATTTCTTTTTAAACATGTTAAGTAACTTACACACTGTCTTCTAGATTGTTTGCCCGTTTTTCGTTTAACCAAAGATCTGAATGTCTACAAAAAACAATAAATCATATAAATAAACGACCTAGAAATGAGAATACAATGTACATCTTAATGTGAATGCATGTCTACCTTTTCTCCAAAACCTCCAGCTCTTTCTCCTCTATAAAAGGCTGCACCCCTGCCACAGATAAGTCATCCCTGTTAAAAAATACAGTTTGTTTCAGTGAAATTGTCAATAAGGCTTGAATCAAACATAATGCCAATCCCATTTTTCTGGGAAAAAAAAGTACCGGTCAGATTCTACGGGACTGATTGAACTCGGGAGATCACCAGTCGCAGTAGTGGTTTTAGGAGTTGAGGCCTTGGGACTCCTTGATGCCATATTTTTTTCATAGCTATAAAGTAAATAAATACACGTTACCTATACACACATGCATCTCATTGTATTACAGTTGGACTAACCACATTATATTACTAATATAGTCTGCAATTCTACGATACATATAGTACAGGTACTGAGGTACATAATCACTGCATCTGCAAGTTTCATAATGGTTTACATGCACAGTAGCAGCCCAATAATGTACACAGCTGTACTAAGCTAACAGATGCTAACGTTCATTCAAAAGCACTAATCAACGTAACAGTCATTATTTCTAGACATTCTTCATACAGAACAAAAAAAATGCTGAATGTGTCTCGCCAATCTGTTACTGTTCAGAAAAAAACCGAACCAAATGGAATCAGTCCATGTTGCTAAGTCAAAAAGCTAACACACAATAATGCTATATCTCTTCGTATTCGTGCAAGACACTAGGACGTTTAGAACTGAGTCACCGTCTTACCTTCTAATCAAGATAAACGCCAAATGAGGATCATTTTTTATCCCCAGAGCGTTTCGGAGACTTCTCCATTTCTCAAACGCATGGCCGAGAGCGACTCGGGTCTGAGCTCTCCGCCGGTCGGCCTCTCGCTTCGCTCTTTTCGTAGCACTGGTGACAATCTTTTTTCTCTTCGCTTGGCGTGGAGTTCCAGACGGTGATTCTGAAGCTGGTCTCTTAGAGAAACTGCTGGATCCATCTTCAAATACGCGTGATACGAGGACGGGACAGATCCACTGAACGCGAGGGAACATATGGAGCCAAAACAGTGAACGGGCACGCGCATTGCGTCACTTCCGCTTAAACAGCGCGCGAGAAAGCGACCAGAGTCAGGGATTTCTCAATCACTGTATGCGCTCACAGAAGCAACCACAGTGAATCTGCTAATGCTCAGTTTACACACCAGGCAACTGCTGATGGACCACAGATGCAAAATATTGCATTATGGCATTTTTTAACTTACGCAATGCACCTGTCAAAATTATCGTTTTGACTCACGTTAATTACATTTTTTATTAACGCGTTATTTTTTTTAAATACCCGCCCATTTATCCATATAAGAATATCACTCAGAATGCTGCGTGTGAGATGGCCTGCTCCGTGGCCGCTCTGGTTGTTGTTAGCGGCTGTGAGTGAGTGCAAGCTTTGCACGGGCTGCAAGCATGGATCTAGCTATTATAATAACAGCAGCAAGCGATTGCTCCGTTCACATACTCAGCGCTCTGCGCACTGTATTTTCCCTGGTTCTTGTCTGTCAGGCGCGCTCTGCGCACTGTATTCTCCCTGGTTCTTGACTGTCAGGCGTGAGTGTTGCTCGTGTGTGTGTCTTTGGGAACTAATTATTTTAAAATAGTCTCTTTCAATTGCAAGTTTTGTAATCTGTTTGTTTGATCAATGGATAAAAATAAATGCAATTTAATTAAATGGCACCTTGGCCTGTCTTATACCTGTTTGCCTGCAGGACAGTTCCCTAAACTAACATATCATACTAAAATAGGGTGGGGTTGTTGCAACAATTAATCTACTTAGAAGTTATCCTAAATTACAGCCAGCTAAAGCTCGGTACCACGACAAACGAAAAAGTAACGCAATAGTTACTTTTACTGCTAACTAGTTACTTTTATAGTGGAGTAACTCAGTTAGTGAGTCAATTACTTTTTGGTAGAAGTAACTAGTAACTATAACTAATTACTTTTTCAAAGTAACTTACCCAACACTGGTAATTATATTTGATAATCTCATTTAACTTCAATTGGAGTGGATTTGAAATAGAATGTTAAACATGCGATTAATCGTGAGTTAACTCACCATTACTATGCGATTAATCAACTAAAAAAAATGAATCGTTTGACAGCCCTAGTATATATATATATATATATATATATATATATATATATATATATATATATATATAATTTAAACCGAGAATAGAACACATCTTTCATGTCATGAATAAAAATAAAAAATCCAAACTTTTGGTCTGTACTGTACATACATGAGATGAGCACTTACACTTTCAACATGTCTTTTGTCCTATTAGATTTATTTAATTGATTTTGACATGACAAGCTATAATCAATCATGATCAAATATGTGTGTGTGTGTGTGTGTGTGTGTGGTTGGTGTGTTTGAGCATTTACAAAATCCGGGTCTACGGTGTGCTCCCCCTCAACCCTGATTAGCATTTGTATAGCTCACAGCATTGCCATTTACATGTTAAAGCCTCCTGTGGAGGAGGAGGAGGGGGGACAACAAACTGCCGAATCCCAGAAGTTTCACAGTAATATACAGGGCCGAAAAGAGACGAAAATCACACTTTTCATGCAGTGATACATGTTTATGAAATAATTTCAACTAACACTAGAAAATTTTAGCAAAATAATTGTTGTTTATGTATGTTTCATGTACATTCACTTCTAGAACTAAGACTAAAAGTGTGACTGACACTTTACAGTGAATTAGCAAACTACTACTGACTACTCACATGGGAACGCAACACAGAAGTAATTAAAGTGGTGGTTTCTAGCTCTTTAAATGTTTGTCTATCCTTCTGTTACTTCACTTAAAGAAGCTATACCCGATTTTTGTTTCTAAGTTGTTCATAAAAATGCTTTTTACTACATACAAGTTGTATCATAATACATAATTTAATTGAAAACTAAATTATGCTAGCCACGCTCATTCAACACACTTTAATGTTGATCAGAGGAATATTTATATTATCATTGTTCACACAGGTGCACGGAAATCGTTCAAATTTTCGGGTCTTGTCTTCATGACAAAATTACTATTTCTCTGCGTCAAAAAGCGATCGTGAAAAAAACCCCGGAAGTAGTTCGGTTCCCGACTCTATAAACGCAAAATGCCAATCATCAACGCTGCGCGTCGGGGTGCGCTTCGCCCTCCGATAATGTCCTGGTTAATATACGTTATCCCTTATCATATTCTATATGTTTTAATGTATAAATTCGATGCGAAACTAGCAGTATTCTTTTACTATTTATTGTGTTAGCAGTGCGTTGATTTAGTTACCATTTTCATTCTGTGATTGTTGTATAGTTAAAGAAGTGTGCTAATGCTAATGTTTGCATATCATATCTGATCGCAAATTGAGCTAGATGGCTCTGTGTTATGAGAGCGTTGGAAAATGGAGAAGCCATTGAGCGAGTTGGGGGGCGGTGCTAAACTTCAAATCCATATGCAGAAACGGGGTAGCGCCTTAATTCATAATTAGCACTTGAATTGTTTGTAAAATTGATGGTTTAAACGGGATGTTTTGTGGTGTGTATTCATTTTCTTGAACATTAATTAATTGTTTACAAGATTAAAGATGTTTGTTATATTTTTTTGGGAGTTGTGCTAAAAGATATTAAATATAAAAAGTAATTAAACCATGAAAATCTTCTCTTGCCACCTGGTAAAGAACGTTCCAGTGTTATCTGTTCGGTGGTGACTTTTGCTTCTGTGTGTTTTATACCTTTAAAGCTCTTACATTTTGTATTAAAATACTTAAACTATTTACATGCAATAACTTCTTTACTCCAGAGGGAACAATAGACTCTGACAGATTGGTCAGCGCACAGCAAATTGCAGGGATGTTATAAAAAACCAAATGCAGTGAGTCGCTTGTTTTGACAGCCACATGTTCAAGAGGCATTGCCCTAATCTGCAAATTGAAATTTTCTCCTACTAAGCCAATTACCTATCTCAACATGAATTCGGACACTTGCCAGTTTTCTGGTCTCTTCAACATCATTGGACAGACAGTGTTTCTTTCCTCTTGTGAACGCAGGGGGTCTTCAAAGAAGCGCTGTACAAGCCTACACTATCGTTCCCACAGTAAAAACACTATCAGCACAACATATCAGGCAACAAACTTATTCTAAGATACCACTTTCTCTGTAAGTTGTTTGTCATCTGGTCCTCCCTCCCATGCCTGTGATATAAAGGTAAACCATAACCCTGAGGAGCAATGCCAATAAGAAATGTAATTGTATTGTGTTGCTGAATTGGACAGGTGTTGTGCTCTTGCCACAAGATTTGTAGGCCTTTCTATGAATACTTCAAAATAACAGTCCTCTATCACTGCATCTTTAAGTCACAAAATCTTTTCTGTATGACATGGGCATGGTTGATTGTTATACTTCTCGATCAGGCCACTAATCAGATATTCTAGTCTTTAGTGGAGTAGGTGAATCAATATGATGCTTAGTTTTGGACACTGTGCCTGTTGATACATAGAATCAATATGCAAGATCTTGTAGCTGAAGGCTATGTTTAATCTTAGAACGCATCAATATCATTATAAATTGTTGAAATTTAGATAGTGCTGACATAGGTGACACAGTGATGTAGGTTCACAGAGCTGATAAAATGTGCATCAAAACCATATATAATTGGGGTAGTCAGTGTTTAAATTTTGGTTTGTCTTCATTTAAAATGGACTCTGGTGGTGAATTTGATGTCTTGAAACGGTTTTCTTGAGGTTGCAGATATCAGATGGATAAAATCTCATAGACTCCTCCATCCTTGTGATGCCAGCCTTGGATAGAGACGTCTGGCATGCGAAACTGCACATTTGAAAAGAACAAATGACACTGATATAGTTAAACCAGGAACTAGTCATTATCCCATCCACAGCGACAGACAGACTAGAGACTGGACACATTCTCACATGCAACTACACACACGGAGTACAACATAATGAGTATATATCAAGTTAAAAAGGTACGTGCTTTCCTTGAAAGGTTCCTCTTCGTGAATTGTGTGATCTTTCTATCACAGACGTCCGGTGTGGATGTGGGAGCCTCCTCAGAGGCTGTAGAGGGGGCTCTTCCCGAGCTGCTGCCCTTTGCTTCCTCTGGAGCGATGCCTTCAGTTTGTGGCTTTCACGTTGATATCCGAAGGTTAGGTGGGGGCCCAGTCAGGTGAATTTCACGTCAACAGGTGCACTCTGGCGCCTGGGAATTAATAAAAAATATGTGTATAAAACGGGGATGTAATTAAGATCTTTCTCAAACTAGTTTAGCGGTTAAAATAAACATTAGCTTAGCAACATTCGCATTCGGTGACTTAGTAGTGATGTAAAGTTCGATTCATTTTACTGACTCTGTGAGTTAAAGTGAATCACTCACCAAAGTGAATCGGGTGTTTTGAGTCATTTGATTCAGTGATTCAGTTGTTCAGAAAAAAACATACATGAACACAAAATAATGCTAAAATGGCAATTTACAATCAAAACATTTATTAAAATTTGATAAATATGGTAACAATAACAAATATGTAAACTAATTTGACAAAATATAAACTCTTTAAATTTAACAATTCAACAGCAAAATTGTGAACAAAACCTTAAACAACCTTGCAGAGTTGACATTTTGCTCGTGATGGGCCTGTTATTTCAAAGTGCATCCAAATATCGCTTCTTCTGCGGCTACTATCCATTTTCTATAAAAATATTTAAAACTTTCCGCCAAAAATGTGGTGTTACATAAATGTATTCCGTGTTAAAACCTACATTCCTGGTAAAAAACAAAAGGTCATAACAATTATATTATATAAATAATAAATACAAATAACTTTCACACATTCATTTTTTATTGATGACAATCATTGTAACGCCAATAATGTTCGAGGCGGAACTCCTGTTGTCCGACGAGAGAAACACAGCTGAACAAATAACTTAATAAATAGCCAATTATATTTTTCAATCTACCTCACATAATACATGTAGAGGGTTATTATTTTTTGTCAGATGGGGCAAAAGAAACTACTTTTTTCAACCCAGTTAGAGAACGAGCGTTACGAGACGAGTCGGTGTCCTGTCCTGTTGTTTCGACTCGCTTGATGCTGAGTGAGTGAGTGAGTCAGATCAGATGAACGATTCGTTCAGAGCTGAACGACTCGAAGGGGAGCGGGAAGGGGCTGATCCAGAACCACAGTGAGTCGTTCACTGCTCGTACGGCTCGTACTAGCAGGCGCGGGCAGGCAGGAAGGAGGACGTTACGGTGAAGTAGATGGTTGTAAACAATAAGCTTTTGGTTTCTGTGCTCAAACGAGCTACAGTACACACACACACAGTCACACACGTAATATTAGAGTGTCATTCATTGTGGCTAGTAGAAAACGCAGTCTGGGGGTCGCAGTTTAGAAAGTGGTGGGCGGACGAGTTAGTGAACGAGTTAATGGAGGCGGGGAATCACGACTCCCGAGTCAGTAAAGTGAATCTCGAGTTTTGAACGATTCGTTCACGAATCGCACATCACTACAACAGTCCTCTTCATGTACAATACACTGTACATGGTCCACTCCATGTTTCAAGTCAAGCCACAGATACACTTTTGTTAAAAGAAAACTTGAGTAAAGCTAATATCCAGCTTTTTTGGTTAGTAGTTAAGCTAATTTGTTTGGGGTTCAGCCACAATCAGTATATACAGTCAGGGCTGGACTGGCCATCGGGCGTACCGGGCAATGCCCGAAAGGCCAAAGGCCTGTTTGCCTCATACAAAAAAAATGTTTGTGAAAAGTGTAAATCCGTTGAGAAATGTTCGAGGGGGCGCGCGTGTCCGCGGGGCACCTACTGTATGTACTCGAAAGGGATTCCACCACCTCAGCGGCCGCAGTGTTCCGGCATCCAGCGGCTCTGAGCTGGACGCAGGAACCGCTCACCGGGAGCCGCTCACAACACAACACGGTGAGTGCGTAGCCGCAACGTGATCATGTACCCAAGACCATAAACGCGCACAGGACCATGCGTGTCTTTGCGTAATTTGTGCACCCAATAAATGCACCGCTGCGGGAAACAGTCCGCGTCTCCCCTCTCCTCTCGAAGTGCGACTAAATTAAAGCTCGGGGGCCTAAATTTTCCATTGCATTAAAAGTTCATGTTTGAGCCCAAAAGTAAAATTTTGTGAACAAATGAAACAGATGTAGAGCCAGCAAATGGCTGAAATTATGCATTTCAGACAATTTTGACCAATTCTCATCCCTGTAGCAAACAACAGTGTTGTCTGCGTCCACCTCCCTCACTCTGAGACATGTTTATTACTCTGTTTAATGTAGACTATTGTACTTTATTTTATTGTTGAAACTGCAGACATCCTGATCCTCTACAGTATTTGCTTCCACATACTGTATAAACCAGGGGTCGGCAACCTTTAGCGCTCCTCAAGTGGCTCCTGGAGCCTTTTCTGAAAATGGAGTGTGAGGGCTATATTTTATTCCTAGTTTGAATGTGGTTTCTGTAGGAGGAAAAACATTCTTAACGTATTTAAATGCTGCAAAAATTGTATAAGTAATATTCAATTTCAACATTTCTGTCAACGTAGTGCGTCATATCCTGTGACACACACCGCTGTAAACAAACCGGCGTGTTCGCATCATAGACTGTAAGAGCACACGGATCCCAAAGATAAAAAGAGAAAGAGTCGATAATAAGACTGGACTAAGAACAAGACTGAACATTTGCTTTCAGTCAATGAGGAAGGACTGCTTCATGTTTGCGATGAAATAGGAAGTTTTGATGCAACACGAGGAACAATGAAGCACTAAACACCGTTCACAGGGATTACGTGAAGGATTCTTTCATACAAAATCCGCTCACTATTGTGTAGCTACATTAGCTACACAATGTAGCTAATGTGTAGCTTACCTTCATATAAGCTTTATACAAGGCTGTTTTTATTTTTGCGGCTCCAGACAGATATTGTTTTTAGTTTTTTTGTCAAATATGGCTCTTTGAACCTTTTGAGTTGTCGATCCCTGCTATAAACAAACTGTAAAAAACGTGAAAAAACATGCCTGGGCCGCTAAGAAGGAAAAAATGCCCGGACCGTTTTTTGTCCCATTCCAGCCCTGTATACAGTCGTTGTGTGAGTGAAACGCATTGGTAAGGGTCAGGTTCCAAAGTCATTGTACTTGAGTAAGAAAATAAAACGGAGCCACACATGATTCCCAGGTATAGAGGGACATGTGACACCCCTGTACAAACCATAATACAGCTTTACACATGTATTTTGGTACACATTTACCAAAATACCTGATTTATTTCAACATCAAGTCCAAGCATAGATGTTGTGTCCATTCACTGGTCAAATGAACTGTGTCAGATGTGAACCCCAATATCTTTTTTTCCTATTAATGTTATTCAAAATATTTATATGATTTCTACTATTTCTGAACCCATTGTGCTGTTTGATTGGAAACCAGCTCCTGCAGTGTCCCTTTTGTCCCACACAATAAGTCCATTTCATGTTCTCTCCATTAGGCCACACACAGACGCTCTGTGTGAAATTGGAAATGCTCTCTAAGGGCCAACGCTCAAGGAACAAAATGAAATCATGTTAGAAAAGCCACAGTTATGAATTACACCATATGCTCCCAATGGACCTCTAATCATGTCTAATGGAGTCAATGAATAGGACCTCATAATGCTGTTTGTTATAGAGGACATTTTGTGAAAGAAGATTCAAGAGATGTGCTAAATTAAGCATTAAGAAAGCAGAGAGGCATTCAAAGGTAATGTTCTTATAATTCTCAATGACTGATTTAATGAACATGACAAGATTAAGCTTATAGAAGGGTGAGAGTCCTGATGAGAAGGCTGAGAAGGAAATCTGGCGAGTATGATGCCGCTTTTAACTAAAACATTAGATATGATCGACATCTGCTGGTTGTTTGCAGAATTGCACCATTGTAATTACACGGAACACAAATAATATAAGAACTCTTTCCCTCTTTGACCTTTCAAAATCAAAGATGGAACAGATATTGTTAAGCTTTAGTTTTGTTTCATTTAAACTTCAATTCTGGTATATGGAAGCTGATTGTAGGCTCTTCTTTGAAGGTTTTAGATTCACATTTAGAAAATGTATAAATCTATCAATAAATACATGAACAGACCAATACAGACCTATGTTTAGTTATGAGTATATTGTAAATGGCACTGCTGACCTCCAAGTTGCAAACTGCTGAGAGTAGCTCATCTAATTATCCTCATGTTCTACTTTACTGAATAATTCAGTCTATCCATCATTAGTGACTTTCTGACAGTTCTGTTTTGCTCTCCTCTCCAAATGAAGCCAAGGAACCCTCCCATTACAGACATCCATGTCCTAGGGCCAAACACTTCATCTTCTGAATATAGTTATTACAGAATGCATGGACAGAATGTAGGGTCAGGAAAGTGGAATAGGAAAAAAAGTTTGTTTATGATTAATACAAAACCGGAAGTGTGTTTCTCCCTTTGTCTTATTTGGTGATGTATTTAACCTGAAAACAGAAAATGTATGTTGTAAATGACAATGTTCAGATATCAATGCTAAATGGTTTGAATGCAATTATTAAAAACAAGTCAAATCTTACCAAACATCTTACTTCCTTAATTTGGGATTAAATATGTAACTTGTACGACAATAATTGGTCAACATCACTGTCAATCGATCTGCGCATGCCCAGTTGATACCCAAATCTGTTTCTGTTGCCGGTTAGCTGCTCACTGTTTCTTGTGATTTCTGCAAGAACATCGAAAGCGTGTGGGTTGCTGATGTGAAAGACAGTAGAGAACCGGCAAAACACTACAGCAAAAGACAGGAGAGGATCCAATTAAACTAGAGTGGCCCTGTAGGAATCTCCCTAGTATACCTTCTAGCCCTTTAATGGTTTCCTCAACCATTTGGTGGATAATTTTTGAGACACTATCTCTACTTGAAGCTTGGAATTGAAATCTACCTGAATGGAGCATCTCACTTGGTTTTAGGCACTTTTACCACCAAACTACATCTTAACCATTTCTTAGAGGTCGATAATGAACTAGGGCGTAAAAAGGAGTGAACAGTAAAGGATTAGAGTAAGAGATGTCCTTTTTTGATTCAAACCATATCAACATCCGTCATCTTTTTTGACCGCTTTCTTTTCCGTATAAGGCAGTAGCTCACATAATAGAACTCCAGCACAGGCCTACAGTGTGTTGCAATCTGCTTATAAAATCAAAGAACATTTCCCCATATCTGCTGCATTGAGTATCCAGAGAGCTGTAGCCTGCAGCAGAAGCCTGTGGCCATATTGCACAGCCCATATTGAGAACTGTGCATACTTTTGGACGAGGCTCAGAGGGAGGCTTGTGAACAGTAGGAAACGGCAGCTTGCTTTGAACTGGGCTTAATCAGAACAAATGAAGCTGGATCCAGGTCAGCGCTGTCTCTAAATCTGCCTGTGTCTTCTACGTGCTCAGTTTTACATTCTCCAAGTTTGAGTTTCATATGTGCAGCCAGAATGATCAGTGCATTGAGCCAACCTACATTTGTATTCAAGCGAGAGGCCTTTTCCACCCTGAAACCTTCTCTTTTCTCGCTTCACTGGTTGCATAGATTTTAAAGC